GTTCCTGAAGTTAAGGGAGTGGCAGCAGATAAGGAACAAAGCTTGGAGTGGCAAAAAGATAAGATCAGTGGCGGCCATGACCTCAAACCAGGTTAAACAGATGGCAAAATCCTGGCTACCCACAATTCACTGATAATCCTGCCAGCAATAGCAGTGGGGCCAAGAAGTTTTTTGAGAAAGGTCTTTGGGCAGTGAGAGATAGACAGTTTTGCCTAGTGGAGTAAGTTTGGCATTATAATCATGCTTCACCTTGGAGGGGTCTGGCACAGACAGTGGGGACAGGCGTAGGCACACATGGGACACATGCATTGTCCCCTACAACCCCAGATGTGACAAATGCTGCTCCCCAAAGCTTGCTTCTGCCTCCTCATAATCTTCACCTGGAGCTCTGCATCTGGACACCAAAGGACATCTGTTTTAGACTGGCCAGAGAACAGTAGCATGTTACCAAAAAAAACAAAAATCTTCAGTAGCTGCTCCAAAATTAGCAAATATTCAGCACCTCTCCAGAGACCTTCAATTTCACACCAGTTAAGTTCCCCCAGCTCCTCCAAGTTCTGCTACATCATTTCCCAGCTGCAGGATTTCTTCAGCATGGGAAGACAGAGTTGGCCTCTTGGGTACCTGCTGACCAGACCCGATGTGAGGTGGAAGCTTGACACGGACCTGGCAGTGGCTTTTGAACATTTTCAGCATCGAAGTGGGATGTGCAGCACAGCCTCAGATGGAGCCCTTGGGCCATGGCTGTGCTGGGCGTGCGCTGCCTCCCGCTGCCTGTGTGTCCCAGCACAGTGACTCCAGGTGGGACTCCAGGGTCTGTCAGCAGGCAGGAGGCAGCTGCCTGGGAAAGCATGGCCCAGAGTGATGCCCTGAGTGACACACTGTAGGATAGGCTGGAGGACCAGTTCACTGCAGTCTTCCCTGAATAGGTCTCCTCCCCCTGTTCTGTTATTTGCATTTTTAAACCCATCTCTAATCGTGTGACTGGTTTTTTAAAATTATTTTGCTGTCAGAATTAATTGTCTCTTCATAGAAAATTGAAAAGAAAATACAGTATTTTCCCCATTAATTCTGAGAGTGGTCATTCCTTTTGCAGTTTGAGATGCCAAACTTTGTGGGTGTGCAGAGTGTCTCCCTGACCTGTTGTCCCTGGACATCTGGTAACCCTCTTGTGTGGACTCCTGTGTGTTTCAGAAGGGCTCCTCCCCTTCTCTCTGATAAGGAAACATGCTAGGACCCTGTTGGATTTGTCTTTTTCAATGGATTAAAACAACTCAGCCTCTGCGAGGTGACAGGACAGTGCCACCTGCCTGACCCAGCACCACTGGGGCAGCGGGCGCTCCCAGCATCCCTGCTAGCCTACAGCCTTCTCCTGGGGCCACACCTCCCCAGCTGAGTATTGCCAAGGGTAGTCCATTAACAGGGAACTCAAGCTGTCCCGTGATCATCTGGACCTGTTAGAACAAGCTCCTGCTTAGGATTAGAACAAGTTCCTGCTGAGGATTTGGAGTGGTCCTGTAGCAGCCAAAGTAAAACTTCAGTTTCTAAGTTTGGCCTAAAATCAACTAAGGTATGAAGTCTAGGGAAGTTTTGTAGCCCAGTGATGAACATGGTGTAGGGTTTTTTCAACAATGTAGGAAAAGTCCATCCCTCTTGCCTAGCTGTGTAATTTTTCGTCCTAGCACTGCTGTATGGGAGCTGGAGACTCTGAAGCGGAATGAAGGCCCCATGTGCCAGGTGGAAGATAAGAGCTAATCCCTACTTTGAAAAAAGCATCATCTGCATAAGCAAGATGGATGCAGCCAAGTCCCATCCCATCTTCTGAGCGCAGATCTGAGCAAACAGCTTAGCTGATTTCCCTACTGGCATGTCCTCAGCCTGTGTTCCCCCAGGATGCCTAAATTCCCCAATCAGCTGTTCCCCTATGTTAAAGAGATGGATTTAACCCAAAAGGGCTGGCTAGGTCCTGAAAACCAATCATACAGCCCACTGTTTCTCAATAGCCCAAGGGGAGAACAAGTCATCTGCTGCCAAATATTTATTGACAGGAATATGAGGGCCCTATTTCTGCTGGGGGGATTCTGCCTAAGTCTTCAGTTGTGCCTTGTGTACTGAACATTACATCCCAGTGGGAGCAATCACAGCCTTGGTCTTGGCCAAGAGCAGGAGAAGCCAAGAGCCAGAATTGCCCACCCATGCTTTTCCAGCAGGGAGCAAAGCGCACACCCTGCCCTAGGAGCAGTTTGAATGCAGCCCCACACTATCTTGCCCAGAAAGTCCTCAGGTTTACTTCAGCCCCCTGCTTACTGCGCCATCTCTACAGAACTCCATGCACATGACAATTTAGCTCTTCATTAAATGTCTCCGTTGATGCAAAAAAAAAACCAAATTTTTCATTACATGTTCCCTTAAGTAGTAGGGTGCTTGGCAATGACCCCCAGGGCTGTCTTCATGGACCAGATCCTTCTCCAATTCTGCTTAGGGCTTTACCAAAAGCCCATTAACACAATGGCTTCCTTCTCCTGCCCAAGCAGAGGGAAGATGAGACCCCTCATTTATGGAGATGACTTGCTCATCTGGTTGGCTCAGCAATTTGTTCATTTGGGAAACTATTTTTACTCACCATGAATGACTAAGCACATCGTTTTGGGGGCTGATGGCTTTTCCTTTTTCCGCTCTTTCTTGGATTTATTTATTTTTAGGTTTCTTTGGGAGGGAAGAGAAGCGGAGTGCAGAATGAAAGCTCAAAGAACAGGAGACAGAGATCAAGGGAGAGTGGGAAGCTTGGATTTACCCCTCCCATTCTCAGGCTGCCTTACTGCTTAAGGAACATAGCAATCCACGGAGCAATTTTATAGGGGTAATAGGAAGGGAGCATTCGGGAGGCTGTGGACTTTGTCATTCAGAAATAAAAAAAAAAAGGAGGGTCAGGTTCTGCTAATGGTTTCTGAAGAGCCCGAGTGGGATTTGAACGGAAGGTTTTCTCACAGGTCTTACAGCACTTGATTATGCTACAGCCCACATGTCTCTAACGTGATTGGGGGAGAATTACTTTGGGGCAGCAAGCATCCTTCTGTTCTGTTTGTCCCGTGCTTAGCACAAGGGGAGGCCAGCCTTGATGCCACAGTAATGCAGGCGTTTATTCATACCCACCCCACCTTTTATTTGAAAGGAAAGTGGTCCTAGACCATATGGTTGAGGGCGTGCATGACCTTTGAAGATGCCCAGAAAATAGAAGGAGGGTTAAAATAATGTAGAATATTGAGGGGTTTTATTCCTTTAATTTTTTATGTCAGTTCCCTGGGGTCACATGAATGGTTGTTGAACCAGTGATGCTGCATATGTGCCACTGTGGTCCACGTAATAAAATTCTCACTACTCACACTTAACATTGAGGAAGATGATGAATCACTCACCCAAAGACCAAAAAATACTCTGCAAACTGTAGGGATGTCCTGGTACCTGGAGAAGATGAAAAGCAGCCATTCAACCTCCCTGACCTTTCAGTCCTATTCATACCAGGGAATGTGACTGTCGATCTCATTCCCCTACACCACCCTGCTGCCTCCTCTTGCCTGCTCCAAACCTCCTCTGACCTTTTTCTCTGCTCACCCTCCATCCCTGCCTGACATTAAGAAGAGGAGCAGCCTTACCCACACAACTTTCCCCAGACAAACAAACAGCAGGCTCATCAGTAGCTCCAGTCTGCATCCACAGGGTTTCATTGTTCCTCCTGAGCCTGCAGGGAGGATGCTCTGCACAGCTGAGTTTGTCCAAGCCCTCTAGAAAAGCTGACGACAGCTGGCCATGGCTCTGCCTCTCCTGCAAACCTCTTAATCCCATAGGAGCATCACTCTCACCCTAGCACTGCCTCTGTCTCTTAGCAGCTTCTTGGAGAGAGATCTGGATCTCATCACAGGCAGCCGTAGCACTAATAAAACCTTCTTTACTTTGGCAGGACACAACACCACTCCAGCAGCGATAAATCCTGAACCAGAGGGCAATTTGTCCTTTTTTAACCAATGCAGGCTGCAGCAGGATTAAGTTGGTCTCATGGAAACTGGACCTCCTCCAGTCTCAGAGACCTGTAGATGTGCAAGAAGTTCCCCCACATCAGGGATGAACCACAGGGATGAGCACAGGGTGAGTGCCCCTACACTGGAGCCAAACCTGCCTGTGAAGAGCTGAGTGAATTACCATCCTTATTTCTTAGCTCAGCACTTTGTGGGTAGGCTTAAGGCTTTTCCAGAGGATTTCCCTTCCCTTGCAGTTTCTGCTCACATGAACTTTTGTTTTACCCACCCCGTTTCCAGTATTCTGGGGATTTCTCTGCTCCCCTTCCCCGGCGCCGCAGCTGAACTGCCTGCTGCAACAAGGCCACCTGCGCCAGGCTATGTCACTTAGGGGTGACACGGCTTGTCCTTGTGTCCTCACCCTCCCTGTGCATCCTCCTGAATGACCTGCAAGCTGTCCCTGCACGGCACCAGCTGCTCTCCATCATCATGTCCCTGGGGGAACTCTACCGCAGCACCCTAGAGCTGGGATTCCGTGCAGCTTCCAGAGTGCTAGCAAGGGGAGGCAGCAAGCACATCCCTGATCCTGTGCTAAGCCTGGGCACAGCCAAACCCTCCCGGGCTTGACCAGCCTTTGTGACACCCCCACCCCCGTCCCCTAAAGCAGCCACATGCCGTGCATCCTGCTGCCGGCGTGCTCCCGCCCCTGCCTGCGCTGGGATTTGCTCCATGCCAGCAGGATCTGTTACCTCACACACAGGATTTATGCCCCTTCCATTCATCCCCTGACGACCAGAGCCCGTTTTCCCCCACAGCATTGCATCACCACCACCTCCCCTTGTTAATTCCGGTCGTCCCCACACACTCCTGCCACGCTTATTTCAGTTTTTCACCCAGGTCCATAGCGGTGAACTCGCAAACAGGGCTGCAGTGAGTCCCCGCTGCAAATGTCTCTGTGGGTGACACTGGGGAGAGCAGGGCCGAGCATCCCCTTCTGCTGCTCGGGGAAGCCGCTGGGCCGGGGCCCAGGAGATGCCCTTCTCCAGCGGGGCGCTACCAGGATGCTCCAAGCAGGAGGTGACGTCCCAGTGGGGGGGACACGAGGAGAAGGACTGAGACACAGAGGAGCTCTCCTGCGTGAAGCATGTTCGGGGGGAGACAGGGGGCTGCAGGTTGACCTTCCCATCCCGTAACTCCCTCCCTGCCCATCCCTAGTCCATGGGTGCCCCCCTCCCCGCCCTCCCCTCCTCCTTCAACTCCAGCGCCGAGGAAGCCGAGCCGGAGGCAGTGCTGAGCCGGATATGCAGCGACTCCCCGCATCCCTCCTTGTGAGTATCCCTCGCTCCTCCCGATGCCTTCGGAGGAGACCGATGGACGGACGGACAGGCAGCCAGAGGTGGACTAGTCTCTCCTATTTGCAAAGCTAGGGTGGAGGGGAACTTCTTCTAATGTCCCCTTCGCCATCCTCTGTCTTCATCCCATCTTCCCCTCCTCCTTCTCCTCCTCCTCCTCCACCTCCTCAGCCACGATACCCTTAAAAAAAAAAAAAAAGAAAAAAGGTGGAGGGAGGGGGATATAGGAAACCTGCTGGCAGGTGGAAGGAACCGGGAAATGGAATCACCGTAAAGACTAGGACTCAGGGAAAAAAAAAAATAAATTCCACCCCCCCCCCCCAAAAAAAAAAAACCCACCCCCCTAGGAGGGAGGGAGGCAGGGAGGCAGGGCGGAGGGGCGGGCTGCCCTGCCGCACCGGGGGACCCGCTCCGCCCGCAGCCGAGCCACCGGCTCCCATCCCGGCATGGGACAGAAAGGAGAAGGCCCGGACAGACCGACAGACAGGCGGGCGGGGAGGGCTGCGGGGGGCTGCAGCGCGGCCGGCTGCCAACTCCCTCGCAGCCCCCGGCGCCTCCCAAGTGTTTCTTTCTGCTTTTATTTGTCTCCTTTTTAAAAAAAAAGATTATTTCCCCAGTGGTGGCTGGAAGGCGGGTCACGCAGGCAGCGGGCAGCGGCGGGGGAGGCCGTGGCAGGGGGGAGGGAGGCTGCCCGCCCTGCCCGCGCCTCTGCCCCCGCCGCGGGGCCGGGGCCGGCGGCAGCTCCGCGCCGAGGCGGCGGCGGCGGCGGCGTGCTCCCCGGGTGTAGCGGTGCTCCCTCCTCCCTCTCCTCCTGCCCTACTCTCCTCCCTCTCTCCTCTGCCCACTCCCTCACTCCTCTCCCTGTTCTCTCCTCGGTCTCCCGGTCCCTCTCTGTCTCTCCTGCCTTCCCCCCGCCTCTCCCCTTCTCTGCTCCTTCCCCCCTTTCTCTTTTCCCCCTGCCCCCGGCCTTTCCATCCCCTCACCCCCATTTTTGACGGGGGGGCTTTTCGCTTTGCCAGGGCAGAGCGCGGTGACGCCGCGGCAGCCACCACGGAGAGGACACAGGACCCCCCCTTGGGCCCGCCATGCCCCTTTGAGGGGGTGGCCTGGACCCCGAGACCCCCGCAAGGCGCCCCGCAGGGCTGCTTCGCCTGCATCGCCAAGCCCCCAGCTCTCCGGCAGGCTTCGCCCGTCCTGTCTCCTTCTTCTGCCGTTTATCTCATGGAGAGCAAGAGCTGCAAAGGGGACAGCCTGCGGCCAGCGGTCCCGTGCAAGCACTCGGTGGAGAAGAAGACGATGACCAACCCCACCACTGTCATTGAAATCTACCCCGACACCACCGAGGTGAACGACTATTATCTCTGGTCCATCTTCAACTTTGTATACCTCAACTTCTGCTGCCTCGGCTTCATTGCCTTGGCCTATTCACTGAAAGTGAGTACTGAGCGCGGGGCTCGGGGAAGGGGGTGGCCAGGCAGCGGGGAAGCGTTTGGTGGCTGTGCCTGATGTGAAACCCCACTCTGCCACCCAAATGAGAGGCTGCAGACAACGGGGATGGGGATGGGGATGGGAAGAGCTGAGGAGCCTGGGATGTTACTTCAGGTGGGGAAGAGATGCTTGCACTTGCTCCAAGTACCCTCAGAGGCTCCTCTGTACCGCGGCGGCAGGGTGACAGGCAGGCAACACAGGGCTGCTTTGGCTCATGCTGCACCTGCAGGCACGCCGGCACTAGGTCTGTTATTTGGGATCCTGGCTGTTAGAGATCTTCAGGATAGGACCCAGCAGCACTGGATGGTCAGGCAGGAACAGTAAGAAGCAGCCAGCCAGGATCAGCCATCAGCTGGTGAGTTGCAGGGGTAAGAAGCTTACAAAGTGCAGGGCAATCCTGCCTGTTTCTTTCTTGCCCTCTCCGTAATTAAAACACCAGAGCTCGTGGCTAGCTTCCCCCACCCCAAGCCCTGTAAATCCCAAAAGAAGGCCTGGAGACCTGCCAGCATCATGGGAATGGTGAGAAGATGGAAGAGAGTGCAGGGGGCTTCCCACAGTGTAAGGCTGGGGGGATAGAGATCTGTTGTTGGAGAGGGTGATGGCGTGGAGCACAGCCCACGATGGGAATGGGACCAGGTTATTATTCCTGATGGCTGCAGGGGAGAGCAGCCCGGCAGGGATGGTGCCTGGCAAACAGGCAGCACCTTGGCAGCTGCCAGGAGAGAGGGGCCTGGGCTGCCCTCCCCTTCCCTGCCTGCCAGATGCAAAACTAACTGAATGGATGTACAGAGAGCCCGGGGCGGCTGGGTGGCCCGGAGAGGAGCTGGCTGATTTGTTTTGGCAGGCAGCATTTAGAGGAAGGCCAGGGTGCAGACAGGCTTCGTCACAGAAGCAGATCAATTAACCCCATACAGCTCCTGTGAGCTGGACTGTGAGCACCCAGCACTGCAAGGAGGCTGCTCCCAGCACTGCCAGGGTCTCCATCAGAAAGGCTCAGGGACAAGTCTGTGGCCCCCTGTCTTGAGCTCACCGAGCACAGCCTGGTGGTGCCTGCCTCAGTTTCTCATTCCTCAAGATGGGAGGTGAGCTCTCATCCATTGCCCATGCAGGAGGCTCTGCTGCTGCCTGGGTGAGGCACTTAATAACTTAAATCATCCTGGGGCGAAGCATCACCACAAGCAAAGGGCAAATCCAGTCAGCAGCAGGCTAGTATGAGTGGGGCGAGCAAGTTCCTTAACACCCCCCACACCTTGATCCAGCAAGGGAAGAAAAAACTGGCTTCCTCCTTGTTTTTTTAAGCCTTTCCTTGTCTGTATTTGCCTTTAACAATTGACACCTTTCCCATGGAAGAGGCTACCACGGGTATCTGGGTACATGTGGTTCCTTGCTGCTGCAGCAGTGAGGGCAGGACAGCCTGAGAACAGGGCTGACCCATCTCCTGGTGACAAGGTAGAGTAGTGTCTGCCACCCACAGAGTTTTTAGAGGCTGGACCCTTCACTATCCTTGGCATGGGGTGAAAGGAAAGGCAAAGCCCAGAAATAACCCGGGACCTTGCACCGGGACAGAGGCGTGGGCTCGACATCTGTCTGCAAAGACCTAGAGGACACAAACTCAAGCATGAAAAAAAAGAGGCAGTGGTGAGGGAAGGCAAATGGGCAAATTTGCTCCAAATCAGAGAAAGGAGAAAGGAAGATGGCTGTCAAAAACCAGCCTTGGCTTTCGGGCTGAGAAGGCGGTGGCTGATGGGATGTAACCGCGGTACCCAAACAGAGGTAACGCTGAGCGGGTAGAAATAACTCTGCTCTGGTTTTGGAGCTCCCCAGTGGCTGTGACTTTGTGGCAGGGGGAAAATAGAAACAAAATGTCCCTCAGAGGCAGAGGACAGAGCTAGCAAGTGTCTGAAGCAGTGCTCAGATGAGCTGCTGTTGGGTTGGGTGGTGAGAGGCAATGCAGATGCTGGGGCAGTAGCAGGTCTGTCCTGGGGAAGGCTGGGATATTCAGAAAGGCAGCTGTGTTCCTTACCCACAGCTACTGCAGGGATCTTCACAACACTCTAGCCAGGCTGGGTGCTATGGTTATTTCTCCAGAAACATGTTTTCTTCTCTTTTACCATCAATAATGTTTTTCCCAGAAGTTCAGAGAAAACAGGAGCAAGAAATGCACTGGGGACAGATATCCCTTTAAACAGACTTCTGTTGTTCCTCTGCAATTAAATGTAAGGAGATTTGAGCAGTAGGCACTTAAGTCTGGCCTTTCTAGGCTGTCTGTACCCTGAGGGGTTTGAGTAAGGAGCAGTAGGAAGAAGAATGAAGCTGCACCTTCCTCTCCCTGAGCTTCTTCTGGGACCCCTGACAGCAGAGCCCTTAGCCAGTGGAACACAGGTTTCCTCAAGAGCCATCAGTGCTCTGATATTAAGTGGCTCCTGGGTTACAGCTTTTACACTTCCTTTAAATAACTGAAATATCTAGCAACTTCAGGAATTATCATTTTCATTATCAGAAATAGCATTTTCAATTCCCTGTCATAAAGGTCACCTGCTTCTGACAGATTCATGCTGTTAATAAAGCAGTATCTCCTTCGTGACCCAAGTCCATGAGAAGTTTCAGTGTGTATCTTAGCACACCCTAGCATTTCCTCTGGTTTCAGCAGCATAATGCCCACACTGGAAGACAGGTATATTCTTGGTACACTTGAATATTACTGTGAAGCTGTCTCCTTCCTCGTGCCCCATTTTATTGGTTTCAGCCACATCTGGGAAAACGGGCATGTCTGCCTGGCCTTTTGCATGCCAGCTACAGCCTTCTAGATTTCTTTCTGCAGGGAAATGCTATTTCGTGGTGATAACCATTTACTAAAAACTGTCAAAACCCCCCACCCCAGCACCAAAGAATTTGTGAGGAAAGAAACAGATGAAATCAGGTGAGGGCAGAAACTGTGACATACAAGGCAGGTTCTGTGTGTGACAGGAGTCACGGCCAAGCAGTCTGAACAGGAGTGTGGCAGCATGCCTCATCTTTATTTACCCCCATAGCAGGCCAGATCCTCAGCAAACACAGCTTGCTGGGCTACAACGGGGTCACACAACTCATGGATCCCTCCAGGGGTCATTTCTAGCATGTCAGGCTTCTCAAGGTCAGCCTCCCAGAGTGCAAGCAAGGCGCTTGCATCTAATCGTGTGTGCAGGACGCTGGGGGAGGAGAGATCAACAGCAGGACCAGGGAAGTTAAAAAAACCCTAAAGTAACCCTTATCCCAGCCCAGCACAGATAAAAGTATCACTCCAACAGCAGCGCTTTGGATTCAGTTGATTTTGATCAGAAGCAAGTGTTGTGGTCTGATATTCAGCAGCTCCCTCCCTTCCCCTTTCCCAGCTCCAAGTGGTAATGAATGATGCATCAGTGCCTGGTGGCAGGAGATCTCACTTCAGTTGTTCAGTCTCTGGAGACTGTTGGGGTGAGCCAAGTGCTCTGTACCCATTGTGCCATGAGGCAGTAGATCAGAGGAGCTGGGATCTGAGATGAGCCGCAGTATGGATGCCTCGCTGTGGCTCTATACAGATGAAGATGCCAAGGAGCCTTGCTGGCTTTTTAAGCCTCACCAGCAGCCCACAGCATTGCTTGCAGAGTTTTCTTGCCCCTTGAGGTCATGGAAATATGCCAAGCTCTCTTGCCCACTCTCTGCCCAGCCCTTAGCACACAGCTGTGGGCACGATTGTTTGCCCTCCTCTTTTGCCACTTGTTGATCTTCCTTGTTTCGAGTGGAAGCAGACCAGGACAAATCCACAGCTATTTATTAACCCTGAGAAGCTGCCGCACCCAGCCTCTCAGGCAGGCTCTCATCCTGCTTTTCGGAAGGAGCAGTGGTTTATGGACGTGGGTGAAATGCAGGGGTGACAGTCCCGTGATGCCAGTGCCGGTGTGGTGGAGGCACGTGGGCTGGAGAGCTCTTGAGCAATTCACAGAGCAAATAAATCCAAGGATCGCCTCCAGAGCTCCTTCTGTGCAGGGACATGGAGCTCTGCATAGAAATGGGTTTACTGACAGCCAGCTGTGGACTTCCAGGCTGCCTTAAAAACAGCCTCATTAGACTCGTTATCAACAAACCATTTGTCTCCTTCTGCAAGCTGAGGCAGCACTTTTTACTAGAGCAGCAAGTTTGCTGCTCCCAAAAACAAGAGGGGCTGAGCCTCAGGGCAGAGAGAGGGGAGGTGACTGCTGCGGGAGGGACTGGGGTGGTAGGAGCCAAGGGGAGCACTTGGAAAGGAAGCAGAACATAAAAACCCAAGGAGACAAAGGGCAGAGGATGGTGCTGAGAGGGAGGAGAGAAAGAACCCTTGGGCACTGACACGCTGGAGGTGTGGGAGGACATAGTGAGACGGAGATATTGGAAGACAAGGTGAGCAGCAGGGAGGTGACAGGCAAGTAGGGATGGATGGATGGATGGATGGATGGATGGATGGATGGATGGATGGATGGGTGGGTGGATGGAAAGGTCACACCACCTTTTGTTGGTGGGAAAGGAGAGGAGAAAGGTTTGCATGTTAGAGCACAAAAGCTGGCTGTATTTCATGTAAGGATAGGCATGGAAGAAGAAGGAAATTGTGTAAGTTGCCAGCCTGGATCAGAGGTGAGTTCTGCCTTGTCCAAGGAGGGATTTCCAAAGATGCCACCACATAGTGCTTGGAGGTGCCCAGGGAAGCCCCAGTCAGCAAGTGTAATTACCCTCACACTCCAGTCATCTCAGTGCAAAGCAGGGCCAACAGTCCCCATCTAGTTTTAGGCAAGGTGAGAAGGATCAAAGGGATGATGAGAGGAGCCTGTGGCTAAGAAAGCACCACACCTTGGTCTGGGGTGGGGGTTCAGCCTTGTGACCTTGAGGACCTGTCCCTCACTATGCTTTATCTCTCTGGCTATGGAAAGAATCAGCTTCCAGGGCTCCCAGAAGCTCGTGCACCAGCTGCCAACACATTATGATGATGGTGGCCACAGGAGCATGAAAATAGGAAAAGCTGAAGCTGGGCTATAAGAAAGACACCAGCATCTCCTTAAGGACAAAGCTGGGAAGGAGCTGAAACACTTATCTGCTCTCCAGGAGAGCTCCTCCAGAGCCTGGCTCAGTTGCCACAGCAGGACATTAAAGGGAGACATCTGGAAGCATCTGGGGGTGCAAAGCCATGCAGGAGGAGGCGAGATGTGAGAGGCTGGAGCTGTGAGTGGTGTGTAAGGAGAAACTCCTTTTCATTGCACTTTTTTGCCATGGGGGCCCTTGCACTTGTCTGGTGCTTAGAGGCTCCATTTCAGTGTAAATGATTATGGGCAATCAGGGATGATTTTCATGAGGGTGACCACTGAAGCCACAGGGGTTAGCAGGAGTGTGTGGGTGGAACCAGCTGGAGGTGCAGGGAGAGGAGGCAGCTGGGTGTCCTTTGGTGGGAGTCAAAGGCGGCCATCATTTGGACTCAAACAACAGGAAAGAGAAGAGATGGAAGGGGTAAAAAAAAGGAACTGTGGGGAAATGGTGTCACTGGGGAGAGGGCAGCCCCAGGCACCCCTCGCCACAGCAGCAGCAACATGGCAGGAGCAGGGCCAAAGGGTGAGCCATGGGAAAGTCAAGGAGAGGTGCTGCTGAAGTGTGTCGTGGGAAAGGGCTAAAGCACCAGTCACGAGTGTGAGCTGGTGTCAGGTGGGAGATGCTGCTGGGAGAGGCTGCTGGGAGCACTGGAGAAGGCTGAGCAGGGAAGTTAGGGTTGTAGGGCGCCCCAGGGAGAGGAGGATCAGGAGGTGAGGAGTAGGAGACAGCTCCTGGGGCCAAGAGGAACTGGCCTCACGAAGGTGAAGCGGCTTGGCTGCGGGAGGGTTGCAGAGCTCGGCGTGCCGGCCGTGCCGGTCTGCTGGAGAAAGCTCCGTGTGCCTGGCAAACGCTGACAGCAAACGCCAGCTTGCCTGCGGCACAGGGCACCGGGTTACAGTGCAGGAGGGGGCAAAAGGCATTTGCTCCATGGCGGTTTTGCCTGAGGCAGCCCCACTGCTGGGAAGAGGAAAGTGTGTGAGAGCTTCAAAGAGTCTGCTGGGAGCAGCAAGCAGGATTTCTGGCCTGAATCCAGCACCTCTGGGGCTTCTCACCAGTGCGTGAGGAGGTGCCAAATGTCTGGTGCTGCTGAGCCCAGGGGTTTTTGGGAGGATGTTAAACTTACTGAATAATTTCAAATGTGAGTCATCCCGGACATTCAGCTGACACAGAAAGGCATGTGGGCTCCCAAGCTGCTGGCTTGATGCCTTCCCAGAGATCATCTCCTCTGCTGAGAGCTCCAGCCAAGTGTGCCCCAAAGACACATGCAGTTTGTGACTGTCCCCTCTTCCCGATCCCAGAAGGATGCTGAGCTGAGCACTCCACAGCAGGGCAATGGTCCCAGCTCCAGCTCCAGGCTCCAACGAGCAGGGCACATCAGAGGCCGAGGACATGGCACAGTTTGATTTAAGTATGAAAAATGGGCTCATTCTTGCCTATGTGCCTGCCAGCACCAGATCCTGTGGGTCTCATGCCAACAGCAGCTTCCCTACCCACAGTTCAGAAGATCAGGGGTTGCTTGTGCAGAGAGGTCCTCAGTGGTGTGATGGAGAGGAGGAATGTTGCTTGAGGGTCTGAAATGCAGTTTTGGAGGACCTATGAACCAGCACAACTCAGTGAGGACAAGAGGTGCAGCAGCCCTTCCCCATGTCCAGCAGAAGGCTTTCAGGACAACCCTGTGGGTAAGCACTGCAGGAGGAAGAGAGAAAAGTCTGTAAGGTGTGGTCTGAATCTGTTGCAGTGTCTTCAGAAAGCTCCTAATCGATAAAAGCCTTTTAATATTCCTCGGTCTGACTCTGGTGCTGGTTTTTGCAGCTTGCCACCCACATCTGGTGTCCATCCAGCAGTGCCCAGCGGGGCTCTCACTGCTGGCAGCAGGGCAGGCCAAGGGCTCACAGCCCCACTCCCCACAGCCCCCACCCAAGAGAGGGCAGTGGGGCAGACCCTGCCACACCCTGGGCACCCCGCTTGGATATGAGATGGATGATGGGTCAAGTGTCCTGGTCCTTTTGTCCAGGTCCTTTTGTTCATCCTTGTGGCTCCAGCTGCCTGAGTCTGCTGAGTGCTGGCTGAAGGGGCGGCCTGGGGACAGGGACATATCCCTGCTAGGAAGCAGTGGAGTCTGACCCCTCCTCTGCTGGGATCCAGCTGCAGAGCTGCTGCTGGTGGACAGTGCCATCAGCTGCCTGTCTGTGCCATCACTGTCTGCCTGGCTGTGCTGTCACTGCCTGGCTGTGCCATCTGCTGCCATGCAATGCCATCATTTCCTTACAGTGCCATGTGCTGCCTGGCTATGCCTTCTGCTGCCTGGCAGTGCCATCCACTGCCTGGTAATGCCATTGCTGCCTGGCAGTGTCATCTGCTGCCTTGCAGTGCCATCTGCTGCCTGGTAATGCTGTTGCCGGTACATCGGTAATGCCCGCTAGTGGCATTGCTGCTGGCAGTGCCATGCACCGCCACTAGCGGCCTGCAAGAGGTGGGGACAGGCCGGTGACATGGACATGCACAATCATCGCCCACTGCAGAGCTGTCCCAAGGAAAGCCCATAAAGTCCCATAAAGCCTGCGGGATAATGAAGGGAGCAGACTGTGCTGTCAGAATGGAAAACTGCCTGTGGCAGAGATGCTACACAATCCGCATAAGACCTGCAAAAGGAAGGGAACTCATTAACCCAGGGCTACTTAATATGCTGGAGGCTCGTGCACAGCCCTGGAGCTGCAGTAGGATGCCGTGCCAGGTTTCACCCGCTCGGCCCCTCGGTGCACACAGAGGCACAGGGATGCACACCGAAACTGCAGCCAGCCTTCTCCCTTGAGGGCTGGGTGGGCCCAACCTGGCACTGCAGGGCCAGGGCGCTGTGACACGGTGGGAAGTGTGCTTTGGTGCCTGTGTGCCTGGGATGTACAATGGCATCTCAGTTCCTTTGTGCACCTTCAGGCTCCAAATGACACTGCCCCACTCCAGGGACCATGGGGCTCTGGTTTGCCTGGTTGGTAACAGCAACGGGTCACTCTTTCTTCTCTGCTTCCAAGAATTTCCAGCCCACAAGTATTGTAGTGCTTGGCTTCACAAGCTCAACCCATAGCAGAGACGGGGTGCAAACCTCACCTCAGGGTGTTTTATGGCACCCCAAGTGCTCAAACACCGAGGCCCAGCCCAGCCCTCACAGTGCACCTGTACAGGTAACCACGTACAGGTGCACTGGGTTTTGTGGCTGTTGCTTGAAACAAGCTATGTCTTTCATACATGTTGCAATTACTTTATTTAATTATCTTTTTGTCTCAGGTCCGGGATAAGAAACTCCTCAATGACTTAAATGGAGCAGTTGAAGATGCCAAGACAGCCCGGCTGTTTAACATCACCAGCTCAGCCCTTGCCACCTTCTGTATCATCCTTATCTTCATCTTCCTGCGATACCCTCTCACTGACTACTGAGTGAGGCCAACAGCAGCTGCTGCCGCCAAAATGCCTCTATGCCAGAAGTGTCTGCAGTTTCTTGTAGCAAGGACACACAAAACAAGCCAACCACTACACCTTGATTGCCAAAAAAAAAAAAAATCTCAATTAAATACATAAATAAATGTTAAATTAGTTTATCAGCCCAGCTGAGCATACCTTTCTTGCCCTGAAATGGTATGTGAACAGCTGAAGGAAAGGGTCTCGCTCTTACACATGTACAGGAAGAAAAATAGACGAAGAAATATTTGTTTTATGGCCAACAAGCTGTGTGAAAAGAGCGTGTAAAGCCCAGAGCTGCACACACTTAGTGGCAGACAGCTGAGCTCTAGGAAGCAGTGGGGTCCTGTGGAGCTGGAAACACATACAGTGATGGATGGGGATCATGGCAGGGCTGGCTTACAACATATCAGGTGTGTTCAGACTGCCCCACCACCCCCAGCTTGTGGGGGTTTCTTTTCCTTTTTTTTTCTCTTGAATTTCATCCACTGGTTCAAACAACTCCCAACCCCTGGAGAGCTGAATGTGTTAGGAAGTTTATGCTGGAGAGCCCCAAAGCCTCCAGAGAAACCCCAGAGTGTTAAAGGGCAGGTTTCTCCTTAGGATCTCCCAGCAGTGCTGAGAAGGAAGGCACCTTCTGGAGAACTCGCCTAAGCCACCTAATTGGAGTGCTACTGTATTTCTGTAAACAGTCAATAAAAAGATACCTCTGATATGTGATGCTGCTGGGTTAATTCCTTCCTTAGCAGGGCTGGTCTCCTGGTCTCTGTGGGCTGGCAAGAGAAAATGCTAATGTCACCAGCAGCTGCTCGGGAGAGATTTACAGCAGGAGTGAGGGATGCTGCTGCAGGTCGGGGCCGCGGGCAGCTGTGAAGGAGAGCACAGAGCCAGACTGAAGAGCAGAGACCTCGGTGACTCCTGGATGGAAGATCTATGGCAAGGAGGCAAAGGCAGCCAAGCAGGCAGGGCCCCCTCCCCTGCTAGGACCAGCGCTGAAGAGGGAAATAAATCGCCACAGTCTGAACCTGCTGCTACTGCAGCACTTCCCAGGGTCATTATGAAGAGCCAGATTTTGGAGACGATGTGCGTTTGCCACTGAAACAGGCAGGAGCTCAGAGCCCAATAGCTGCCTGCAGCTGCCTGTCACGCTGCAAACCAACACACCCTGACTTGAAAACACCCATAAATGAATGACAAGACCAGGACTAAAATACAGCCTATCAGCCCCTCTGACCCTCCATCTCATCTCATATACCACAGCTGCCTCATCTTTCTCCAGCTGTAAGATGACCTCATGCCAAGGGGCACCCATCTTTGCAGACCAGCCATGGAGCTGGGAGAAGGCATCAGGATCCACCTTTGCACCCACCCTGAAAGCAGAGGTGAAGCAAGAGATGGGGAATGCAGACAGGCTGTCATGGGACACTTCATCATCTGCTGAGTGCATGGTTTAATCAGCAGGCTGTCTCTGGGCTGTGCTTAGTGAGGGATGTGCCATAGTGAGATGTGGGGACAGATCAGGAGAGGCTTCCCTGAGATGTCACCTCATTCCTGCTCAGGTCTCCACACCTTCATCCTGTCCCAGGCTTCATTTACCATGGGAGCTATGTGCAGAAAGACCTGCAGTCCTGCCTGCTCCCCACTCACTGGAGAGCATTTCCACACCAGAGCAGATCAGGGGTCTGTTTTGCAGTGAAGTTTCAGTTGGCAGTGCGGTGTATGATGCCCTGAAAGTATCTCAGCCATGAACAGCTCTATGACCACATATTCAGAGGTCAATACTCTTCCCAGCCTCTCTTGGTTACTTCTTGCTCCCTTCCCTGAAGCAAGACCTGAGGGCTCATGGCTGTTGGCATTTCCATCTTCACATATGTGGGGGCTATAGCCAGTCCTCGTCCCAGGCTGAGGAAGGAGGTGGCCTGTCATGATGGCAATGACCCCAAAGAGGGTACAGCCAAAATGACTCACATTGCGGCCACCCTGAACTGGCAAATTCTACCTCACTGGGACAGTGCTACCTTAAACAAGACCCAGACCAGTCATCCCAGGATCCTCCGAGGTTAGGAGAGGCACAGAGATGAAGTTGTATCCCCTTTTCCCTCCCCCTTACCCGCACCAAGCTCACATTGGCTGTGTCTGAGGTCTTGGCTTGGTATCCTTCCCCATCACACTTCTCAAGCTTTTCAGCTCAAACACCAGAGCAGCTGGATGGGCTCGGGGGATACCTCAGACAGGGTCACCCTGTCTGAGGTATGTGTGTAGTGCCAGGGGTTCCAAGCTGCAGATTTAGACCCCTGTGGGACCAATGGCACCCTTGCAATAATGAGTGCATTCCTTTCTATGAGCTGAGACTCATGTCAGCCACATTGCAAGTGCTTTTGCACTCAGAGACCACCCCCAACTCTAGGAAATCTTGCAGGGACAATGCCACGGTCCCCATCTCCAGTGCTACACAGGAGAGAGCCATCCTGCTTGGCATGCAGGCACGGGGCTGTTCTGATAAAGGCAGAGCTGACACAAAACTGGAAGTGACCCAAAGCCAGCCTTTTCTACATTTAACAAGTGTGACAAATGAGTTATCATCATCCCTTCCCCTGACAGACCGTCTTATCTGCAGGAAAATGGATGCTGGTTTAATGAACCAGGGGGAATATTGAACTGACTCAGCAGCATTTTTTGCATCTATAACCCATTGGGGATGGAGAGGGAGGGTTATTATTAGTAGCCATCATATTTATTGTTTGTTACCCTTGTTGTAGGAGGTGAAATTGCTGCAGCAGGTTGGAGGTCCACCCAGACCCACCATGGACAAGAACAGGGTAGTAAGAAGGATGCTCAGCATCATGCTCAGCTCCACCACAACCTTGCCTCGGCTCCACCTGCAGCTCTGGGCTGTGGGGCAGCAAAACTCCTGTGCTCTCCCTTCCTCTCTCTTAGTGTCTCCCCTTTAATGGAGTCTCTCCAAACCCACAGCAGAAGGAAAGCACCTCCAAAATGGGGGAAATAAGGGGAACCCATAGATTTCCAATCTTTTTGGGGAGAAAAAAAAATTTATTCATGCATGGGTCTTCCAAGTGAAGCAACATCAAGGTATTCAGCATTCATTTCTCATCTTGTCAGTGTCAGGGAACCCCAAATTGAGGCAGCAAAACCACGTCCCCATATACTGTCAGGCAAGTACATCCCAGATTGCACCAACTGTGCTGTTAAGTGAAAGAAATAACTTTTTTGATTTTGAGGGAACAAGGGAACAAGGGAAAGAAAAGCAGCAGCGAAATCCGACAGGTCCTCTAATTGCCTGGGGTTTTTTTTGCTTTTTTGTTTTTTTAGTTTTGCAAGAAAATTCTGGAAGTTCGGGTTTTGCCAAGGCTGACACCCGCCGCGGCAGAAGGCAGGCTTTCAGGAGTTGCTTCTCTGCCTTTTCACTTCTGCCACTCACAACGTCGCGCCGCGCTCTCCAAATCGCACTTTTTTTTGGCTGCGAAGCCGCAGCCTCTGTTGCACTCCGCGGCGGGAAGGAAAACTGTGAGGAGGGGGTGGAAGAGAGGAACAGCCGAACGCAGCTTGAGAAGCATCTTTTGAGATGGGGAAGAGCTGACGGTCACGTTGCCATTTAAAGATTTAATTGTATTCCTTCGGGAAACTGAGCCTGACAGCTTGATGAGGATTGCTTTTTGGTTTTCGTTTAGCTCGGGGGGAGCGATTGTTCCCTGTTAGGCGACACCGTGCAATTGTGCCTAAAACACCTGCGCTGATTTTGTGTCCCTGGTAGCTGAAGGGCGTTCGGGGTGAGCCTGGGCAAAGGCCACCGAGGCTGGTGAGGGTCCGCAGAGGAGATGATGCTTCGGGACGGGGCTTGTCCAGCCCCGCTATGAAATGGCTGCGGGGGGACCCTGAGGGCAGCGCCAGCAGCCGGGAGGAGCTGCCGGAGGCAGGGAGCGGGGTGTCCGAGCCGGGCCGGGGCTGCCGGGCTGCGAGAGGCAGGCAGAGGGCTCTCTCGCACCGCCGGCAGCGCGCCGCACAGCGCCGCGGCCCCGCCGAGCCGCAGCCGGGGCGCTTGGCCCTGGCGAGGAGCACAGCTCCATCCACGCTGCTCCGGGACCCCCTGCCAACAGCCCCAGCCAGCGCAAGGCTGGCTTGTGCAGGAAGCAGCTGTGAAGTGAGGGTGGCTCCTAGAACCAGCCAGGAGCGGGTCCCCATCCCTCCGCAGGGATGTGCCAGCCGGGACGCGTGCGTCCCGGGCACCGGTGCACGTTTACCCTCCAGGCTGGCAGGGAAAGGTGGCTGGGAGCCAGGCAGTGCGTGAGCAAACCTGGCCGTGCTTACGCAAGTCTCAGTGCCCAGCCGAGCCTCTGCCCCAGTGCCACGCAGGGCTCGGGGACGCCTCCTTTGCACAAGTGCCACCAAGCCGGTTTGCAGACAGCAGCGCATGGAGTCCTAGCTGGGGTGAACTGGTTTGGGTTTGGCTGGTAAACACGACTCCACAGTTCTCCTTTATCTATGGGCTGACAGTAATAAACATGAGATGGAGCTCATTCAGGTAAGGACCTCCCAGCACAGTGTCAACATCTGCCGGTTCTCCTGCCTGGGATGAGCTGCCAGGTGTGCGGGCAGAGCATGGTGAGTCAGGCCTGGAGCAGCCACCAGCCTGGATACCCAAATTAACTGTCAGAGAGAGATGCAAATGGCAATCTCTATTCTGCTCTGGGGTGTGGTGTAATCCTCCAGCAAAGCCAAACTATGCTGCAGCATCACAGCCCTGCTTCCCAGGTGCTCCACGGGCCAGGAGGCAGAGTCACGCTGCCAGCAAGTAGCAACTCTCACCTCCCTTCCCAGCCATGTGCTGATGTCCTGGGTGACCTTACCAAAGCCCTTTCATCCCTGTTTTCCCCTCCAACACTGTCTCATAGGTTGATGGCTTCTCAAAGGCAGAACTGCAGCCTCGCTTAGAGCCACCAGGTTCTGGGACATTGTCACTGTGGGTGCCCTGTGATGGGTACAACAGCAGGAGTGCCCAGCTATGGTTGGCAAACACTGGGGGAGAGCTGGACACTGATGGAGGTGCCTCTTCCCTCCTCTCCATCCCCTCATCCGTGTGCAGGTTGGACACTGAAGAGCGCCTGGCTCTGCAGGCAGACCACGGCGGTGCGCAGCCCTGCCGGGGGGAGGAGGGGGAGGCACAGATGGCAGCAGATGCTCTCATCAGTTAAAATGATTGAAGCAAAACAAAAAAACCCCTAGCAACTGGTGAGCAGCCTAACAAAAACCAGCACAAGGGTACAGAGAAAGGGTCTGGACCTGACAGCCTAGCTCCATGCTGCCTTCTGGCCCAGGGTAATGTTTTTCCCATCTCCAACTCACAAAGAAGAAAGACTATGCCTTGTCCCAGAGCACTGGGCAGTGATTATTTTCTTTAAGGCTTGGATATATTAAAATGAAACCATTTGGTTTCTTTCCCATTCCCCTGTCCCTATCCTCTCTCTTGTCCTTTCCCTTCTGCCGTCAAAGAAGTGAATATGACCCTGGACAGCTTCTAAGCACACCTAAGTCCCTCCCCTACCCTGACTACCCATGGCAAGCCTTAATGTGGGCCAACATGGCACTGCATTTCAGCACTGGGAGCAAAGGACCAGGAATGCTTCCTGCACCTGAGTGTTACTGTAAAGCCTCTGTGCAGCTTGGCTGCTGCTGCCATGCTCAGCTCCTCTGTTGTGA